ACAAATCAATTTCTGCTCCAGTAACTCAGGGTGTGCCTCAAGGTTCTGTCCTTGGTCCTCTGTTATTCATCATTTACGTACTCCCTCTTGTTAACATTATCTGCTCCTTTAATCTCAACTTTCATTTCTACGCTGATGATACTCAGACATATCTCAATTTCAATCTCTCTGACTCTTTTTCTCCTATTTTGCTGTCCTGTATCTAGGAGATAACACACTGGTTCAACTGCAACTTCCTTAAGTTAATCCTGCCAAAACTGAATTATTGATTATTGGCACCAATTCAGCCATTTCTGCATTCTCTAATTGTTCTCTTTTTGTTGATAACACTTTAGCCACCCAATCCGCTGTTGGTCACAATCTTGGTGTTGCATTTGACTCCAGTCTCACTTTTATCCCACATATTAATTCTGTCCGTAAGTCTGCTTTTCTCCATCTCTATAATATTGCAAGGACTCATCCCATACTCTCACTCAAAGATGCTGAAACCCTTGTACATGCATTTCTTTCCTCTGAACTAGATTATTGTAACACTCTGCTTTATGGTTTACCTGCTAAATAACTTCGCTCTCTTCAACAGATACAAAATTCTGCTGCTAGAATTCTTATGTCCACAAAAAAATCAGAACACATCACTCCCATCCTTCATCAGCTACACTGGCATCCTATATCTGAAGGTATCATTACAAAATTTTGTTACCGACATTTAAAGCACTAAATGGCCTAGCACCGCTCTCTCTCTCCAATCTTTTGCATTTTCATGTTCCAGCCCACCAGCTCAGGTCCTCTAACCTAGGTTTTCTAGTCATCCCAACACGTAGACTCTCCACTATGGGTGGCAGATCTTTTAGTGTTGCTGCAACAACTCTTTGGAACTCTTTACCTTTTTCAATTTGTTCTTCTGAATCTCTGACTGTTTTTAAAACTCAACTTAAAACCTTCCTCTTTTCCTGGTACTTCAACTCTCTTTAGTTCTGTACTGTTCTACTTCCTTCTATTCATTGTAAAGCGACCTTGGGTTTTTGAAAGGCACTATATAAAATAAACTTATTATTATTATTACTACTACCCCAAAATGAGGTGATTGTGGCAGAAGTGTTGTCCTGGGTTGATGACATCATCAATGTCATGGCTGGCTGTGATAGACTGCTGTAGAATGCTGTTACGGTCAAAATAATTATTAATGAAAACAGAAGCAAAAGACTGTAGAATACGAAGAAATGCAGGTTCAGAGGGTCATGAAGACCACCATGACGAGCCCCTTTTTCCCTGTAAGAATTTCTCCATTTACCTTTTAATTTTTTTTAATAAAACATTGAGCTCTTGATTTAAAATTAGTGGGAATGTTTTTCTGAAAACAAGCACTGTTGACTTTTCTTTTTATCTATGTTAATTTCAACACTTCATTTAGACTTATACTAGCTGGACAGACCTTGCTTTCTACACATTCTGCATCCTTTTCCCTCCAAACAAACCTTTTATAAAGGCAGCCACAGAGTTTACCCTGGTCTGCTCAGTGGATTTATTACCAAAAAGTAAAGGGTTTGTTTAGATGTTCCTTAACAAATTCAGGACACTGAACTCTGTGACGATGCAGCAGAGGTTCTCATGTGACAGCACGCATTCTTGACTTCCYGAAGGTCTTTTTGCAGTTAAATATGCTTTTTGATTTGTTCTTTTTTAGCAATCCTTTGAGGCATTTTTAAAAGTTATCTTTTCCTGATCTAGGCTTGACATCCACCAGTTCCACTCACGCACAGTTCTTATTCACATAACAGATTTATTTAAAGTTTAGTGTTCCTTGAAGGAAGGCATGTACGCCGCCTTTCAAGCCAGTTTTAAACTAACATAGTCTTATCTTGATGGCAGCTAGGCGATCTTGATTATGCAGATGACCTGGCCCTGCTTTCATWTAATCACCATCAGATGCAGGGAAAATATACAACCAAACTAGCAGAAACATCAACCAAGTTCAATCTGAAGACGAAAGAGCTCAGAATGAACAACACATATGAAGTACCAGTTATGAAAACAAATTCATGTATCTTAGTATTGTAAACAATCTTGGAGGTGGAAGGTGGAATAGGGAAGGTGACAGCAGKGTTTCTTAGGCTAAAGAGCATCTGGGCATCCAACGGAACGAAGCTTCACATACAGTATTTACATCTAATGTGAAGTTGGTCCTGCTGTACAGTGCAGAMACAAACTGAACAATCAAGAAGACAGAACAAAATTCAGGTGTTTGTGAACTGCTGCTTAAGAAGAATTTGGGGAAAATGTTGAAAGGATGGAGTAAGAAATTAGGTTTTATGGGAATTTACAGGGGAAGAACTTGTGGCAAGTCAAGTAGTGAGAAGAAAATGGAAATGGATTGGACATAGTCTGAGAAAGCCTGCCAATACCATCACACAGGAGGCTCTTTTTTGGGGGATCCACAGCGTAAAACGAACAGAGGACCGAGAGTTGAAGAGACTGGGGCTCACRTGGAGTGAACTAGTTGGGCCTCAAACACAACGCAATGGAAACTGGTGGCTTTTGTCCTGCAGTGGGTGATGCATTCAGATAGATAGATGACAGTCTTATCTTAAAAAACATTTAATATAATTTAAAAATAATTTAAGCCTTTGAGGTCAAATTTTGAAAACAGCATTCTRCAGAATCCACATAAAATCTCATTGAGTCAGTTATCACTTCAGAGTATGTGTTGGGAATGAGTCTCAGCTACCACCACACCTAATKTCAGCTCAGTATCTGTAACACAGAGTTATAGCCATTTTAGTGTCTGCTAAGATCAGTTAGCTGTGGCAGCCATGTTGGATCAGGCCATGTTGGATCAGGGTGACTCTCAAAGAGAAAAACACAACCAATGATTGTTTTCTGAGCGTTTCATTAAAACCCATCCATTAGGTTATGAAATGTTTTGCTAACAAATGAACACACACAGACAACAACATTGTCATCCACCATAGAAATGAAGGCAAGAAAACAGTGACCTATAAACATTTTTAWTAGCCTACTTTTGTTCTGCGGGTTACACTGCTGAAGGCAAGGAGAGCAACCTGAGCCTCCTGACTGCCAGGAACGTGTTCAAGGTGTAAATATTACCTCTTTATGCAATTGTTATTATGCCTTATTTGTCATATTGCTCAGAAATATGGGGAAATGCAAATAAAACAGCTATTGACATATTAGTCAAGTTACAAAAAAGCTATTAGGTTTATTAATAAAGTGGGATATTGTGAACCAACTAATAAACTTTTCATTCAAAGTAACACTTAAAATTTTCAGGATACTGTGAAATACTAGAAATAATGTATAAAGCATTGAATAAAAGTCTTCCTTCTGGAATTAAAAATTATTTAAGTTAAGAGAGAGTAAATATAATTTACAAGGTTTGTTAATTTTTGAACAAGCTAAAGAGAAAAATAAAGTAAAATCTAGATGTGTTTCAGTTATTGGAGTGAAATTATGGAATGAGTTGGAACGATGAGCTCAAATTATGTGCTTCTTTGGTGAACTTTAAAAGAGCCAAAATGTAAAATTATAAAAAGGTTATACTGTTATGTAGATTTACATTTGTATTTTGTAACCATGTATGCATGTAATGTTTGCATATGTACGTATATATTTCTTTTTCTTGTAATGTAAATTTACCAAAATAAATCTACTGTAAACCTGAATCTGAATCTATTGTTTTCATATTAAAGACAGAGAACACTAATCTTGCTTAAAGTAGCTATGACATCAGATTTTWGTAATAAACCTGAAGGCATTTTTGGAAAGACAATATTGATGGCATATTGCAAAAAAATTAATAAATTTGATGCCGCTGAGATGAAGAGTTGTTGAGATATTCACATGTGAAATAACAGGAAGTGATGTCAAAGGGGACTGTCTACAATYCTACATCGGCTAACAACACAGGTTGTATCACAGAARAATCTGATGTTTCTTTAGATTACTTTGAGTCTATCAGAGTGAGATGAAGAAGAGTCATACTACAAATATTACTGTTTCAATAAACAAAGACCAGAGAGTTSMTTTATTAAAGAGTTCYCCTTAGATGTCACTTCCTGTTTCACCAAAGCTGAGCCAAGTTCACAAGAAAGTATGCCAATTATGTGACAWRATGGGTAAAATTGTGTGTATTATGTCCAGTTTCTGAGATATAAAGGTGTTTTCTTTGTCTATTTGTCTTTGAAGGACATGCATGTCRCAGGTTCTTTAAAAGTTCAGTCTTTCATTTAAGCCTTATCTTGTTCTAAACATAATTTTAATAAACCTTTGCATGTTGCTGGATAAACACCACAAGGAACAAGATAATGTCTCCCACTGCGATGCAGCAAGAGTAAAACTAAATTAAATTTACAATAAAAAAACAGCTCTAGCTAACCCAGAATCCAGGGTTATAAACAAGATTTCTTCTCGTCACTGAGCGTCTTCCTCCCAGCAGATGTTGTGCAACTATCCCAATACGACACATGAGACTGTGGGTCATGTGCTGTGAGCGTGCAGCACACCAGTGAAAAAGCGATGGTCGTAGTGGGTGTACTGGTGATGCAGCAGGGGAGCACAGCACTGCAGAACTCCCCCACCAGCTCAGAGAAAACTATTTATAGTGCACACACAGACACATGGTTTGCATAGACCCAGGAGTGTTTCTCACGCACAACACCTAGCATCAGTCAAGTGCAAAAAAAAATGAAGTCAAGTTTCAGCAGAGGCTCCTGCAGGTGGGTCTCTCTCCAGGACACAAGCGAACACACACTCATAAACGTKCATAATGTCAGATTTATGAGGTGTGTGCAGCTGTAGGTCACACATATAACAACTCATTTCAGGCCAAAGAGGAGAGGCGTATATTACACAAAACACACAAAAACACATACTGGTGACAAATTAAACATTTATACACTCTGAGGCTGATTCAGCTCATGAGTAACCCGGGCCTAAGCTCTCCCCAGTGGGTGTTTGTGTTGTTTGTGTATCATCTAACTTACCTGAGAAGGAGCTCTTTGGGGAGCTTCTTGTTGATGGGGGCTTCATCGCTGTTTGAGAACACCTGCCGAGACACAAGGTAGACAACAATAAACACGCCGTTTACTTTATAAGACGAAAAATAAACATTGTCTGAACTTCAAGCTCACTTGGTAAAAAAGCTCGAGGATATTTTTTTTTCTCAAACCAGAACAGAAACAGACTCCTGCTTCATGTTTACATCATAAGCTGAGAACAGAGCTATCGCTTCTTTAGGTTACTCTAATAAACACCCCCCCTCGTGAGCTTATAAATCTGTCAACCTGGTCAGCTTGTTGGCATGCTTATCTCAATTAACCTACTCTCTGGATGTCTGGCCATCTGCTGAGCAGCGCRCACACGCTCACACACTCGTAGGCGACTCGAGTCGGACCTCTCAAGAACGAGGAACAGTGGCAGAACGTTCTCGATCAGGTGGGCCTGCTTTTCAGCCGTGAATTCAGATTATGGTGAAACACCCACGGCCACTGCACATCCCCCAGCCAGCGACGTGCTCGCATCCTCAAAGACTCGGCAAGTGTTTCTAATGAGAGGACTCCCTGGTGTGTCACATGCAAACAGAAAATATGAAAAGAAGAAACAAAAAATGGAGGGGGAGCCAGGAAGGATGAGTGCGGGTTGATCCTGAAAGGCAGATGCAACCTCCTTAAAATAGAAAGCACCGAAGGAGAGGGATCAAAAGGAACGCAAGAGACAAAAGTCAAACAGAGAAATCTGCACTAAAGCGAAAGAGAACTGAAAACAATTATTAGAGTAATTAATAAAAATCAAAAAGGCTAAACATGAGGGAGGAAGTAATTCAATTTGTGCTTGAGTAGGGTCAAAATGAAAACAAAATTAGATTTTCAGTCAGTTTAGCAAAAATATTCATTAATATTCACGGTTCGTTTAGGGGCTGCAGTAACTCAACGGCCACAGGCTTGAGCCCAGGTTGCAGCAGGAACTATTACTAAATCTTTCAAGCGAGTTTGCTCCATGAACAAGGGAGCAGCAAAAAGAAAAACAACATTCAGATCATTTCTTATYGTGGTCCACCGAACAGATTCATGAAGGAAAACAGGTGTAAATACGGTGGACGGTGCATTTCAAGACGAAAATCAAGACCACAAACAGGAGGAAGTTATTCTTAGACCTGTGAGAAAATATAAAAACATCAGCTGGAAAGATTTAAGACTTTTAATGGTTCCCTAATTCATCAGTCAAGGATGAAGCGTCTTTGTCACTTGGGAAACCAAGACGACGATGATTAATATTAATGAGATCCAAGAAGTGGAAATAGGAGATTAAGGAAAGACGAGCTCCACATGTCAGATCTTTATGTTCCAGTGGCAACACAGAAGCCACAAGTTGATGTAAAGTCGACGACTTGCTGAGAATTTGCCAAAAGGCTCCTGAACTCTGACAGGACAAAGATTAGAAAGAAAACCAGTCGCTGAGCATCAACCCTGACTCTACAGTCAAACAAGATGATGGGAATGTTCTGCAAGACTGACCAGAACTGAAGGGAAAATGGTTACGGACCAGCACCAGACCTTTAGCGCACAAGATCTCAGGCTGTGATGAAGGTTTGTATCCCAAGAAAACTGAGAAGTGGCTAAAAAAAAACTCATACCATCCATTATCTGCTGAGGGTGTTTTCACACACTTAGTAACATTTGTTACATTCTCAGCTGTTGTGGTTTGTTTTCACAGTGCACTGTCAAACCAACCAAACCCAGTGAACAACCCGTTCACCTCCTCGCTTGTGGCGGCGCTGCACCAAGACCCACTGAAGGGAAACGACACGGAAACCCCTGAAGACACCGAGCGCAACTTCCTTCTTCGTGATAATCAAACAAACATGGAGTGACGGCAGATTTTAGCATCTGTGAAAATGTCATTTGTTCCTGGCAAACGTATCAAACACTCATCAACCATGGGCTCGGCATGAGAGGAAGATGAGGCGGAACCGTGGAGAATAACGTGCACCGAGTAGGAGTGCATCCAACTTCATTGGAGTGATGTCCATCTTATACAGAGGTTGAGCAAGGTATATGAGTAACATTTTACTATTATTACCCAGAATGCCCTGCACTGTAGTCCGCTTCCTGCTTTTGTAGCGGTCTCCAATCGGCTTGGCGTTCATGCATTCGAACTGCACCAGAGTTCACTTCAATATCCAAGACCTAGGCTTTGAGGAGGACCAGAGTTCAGTTACATTCATACCTCCCCAAGCAAACCGAATTTCAACTCTTCTGGAAAGACTCCAGGAGGTTCCCGGGCCAGCTGAGAGGCATTAAGCGTATCCTGGGTCTTCCCCTGGGGTCTCCTCCCAGTTGGACATGCTCAGAAAACCTCAGGGAGGCATCCTTACCAGATGCCTGAACAACTCAACTGGCTCCTCTTGATGTGGCCTCTYCATAACTGAACATCTCATCCCTCCTGTGTCTGCAGTCTTTCAGTCACTACCCAGGATTTGTGACCGAAAATGGCAATCTCAATAAAAGGATCTGAAGCTGAAAGAGCTAAACGGTGAACCGTGACGTGTTTATGTGTTGTCTGAAGGCAATTTCACTTCAAAAACTAAATAAACAGCCATCAAAGTATGCAGTTCTTCAATAACAATCAAAGTCATGCATCAATGGAAAAATACAAAATAAATCAGCTGGTTAAAGCTTTACAACATCATCATTCTGAACAAACCTTGGTGCATAATAACCTTATTAGATGTGGCAGAAGAGCAGCATTCCCCAACAGGGAGCTCTCCTCTGCAGTCATATTTCTGTTCCTACAGCATGAACTGTCTGGAGTTTCTTCACCAAACATCAGCTGTAGAGAATCAAATCTAACTCATGTAGCATATTCAATCTGGAGCCTTCAATACAACAAATATAAAGAAATTATGCCAGAAATCCAACCTAAACCCCCCTGACTCCTTATCACGCACTGAACCACACCGACTAGTTTCTCCAAACCGTTCAGCGGTTCTCATCTAAGACGTCTGCAGATACAGCAGCAAACAGTTTCTGTTCTGGTCCACTCACACCGAGCATGTACCGACTGAGGAAGTCAAGTACCATCAAGTCAAACCCTAAAGAATCTCAGCAATGTGTGAATAACGTGGCAGACAGGAACACTGCCATTTGGAGGGGGTGGTATTAGGTCTGAACCCAAACATGACGGTGGTAAACATGCTTATTAGGCCACAGGTGGTGAACTGAAAGTTTGGTTGTGGGCTACGAACACCAGCTTAATAGGCATTTGAGCTAAAACACAGTTACAGTCCAAAGTTTGTGTTTTCGAGCTGATGTAACATCAAGATTTAGGAGGTAAAAACTTCAAATGTCTGCTCTGTTAAAAATAAATCATAAGTTTATAAAAGTAAGAGTTTGAAGAGGCTCAGCAGAGTGTCCAGACTATGTAAACAAAACTAAGCAGCCCCCTCTCAAACTTTTAACAGACGCTGCCTTTCCCCACACTTCATCTCTCCATCTATGCTCCTGAAACTCAGCTCGGAGTTTGAATAATTTAAAGGTCAGCCCGAGCATCTTTCTCCRTCCACAAAAGTTCCACAGCAGCCCGTGGCAGATGTCAAACGCACCAACGCTGATGAATTTGTCGCGGGGCCGATATCGGCTGACATTATCCGCTGCCAGATCTGTGACGCTGCACTATTTTACACATTTTTTGACAGCCGTGGCCACGCTTCAGGGTTTTTTTTTCCTTCCTCTCAAGAAAGAGGAATAATGCTCATTGCAAAACTATAAAATAAAACTATATTAAATGGTTGAAGGAGTTGTTTACACTGAGGGCATACCTGCATTTCAGAATTCCAAAATAGGCATAAAAAATACAGGAGTAAGCTATTTCAAACTGCAACATTTGACATATTTAGCACAAAAAGAAACTTTGTGTTTGGTAGAATAATTCTTTGTTGTAACGATGCGTCTTCACAACAAATCACCTAACGAGCACCTGATCAGCAGCAGCTGTAGCAACAGCAAAATAATCTGTTTGACGACTCACATCTGCTCATCCTGCAAATGCATGTTCCTCACAAATGTGACACCATTTAAAATGTAAACTAACAGGCTTTCCAACAGCATAAGATTTATTGCCAAGAAAAATTGCTACAGTAAAGAAATCATCTACCAAACACAGAAAAGTTATCATTTTTTAATCTTAATATTCAACAAGTAGCTTTAACAGACAGCTAATTTTACCCAGAATGTGTCCATTTTAACTTAAAATATGTTAAGTTATATCTAATGGTTTTGGAGCTAAACATGATCACGGTGATGCTTCTTTAGCAGAAACCAGTGGGGCACCTGCCACTTTTATGAGGTGTCACAGGGTTTTGCAGCGGCCTGATGCCCATTTAATGCTACCTTACACTCCCCTCCTGAAAGCCTCGGGGAGGGGGGGACCGTGGCAGCCAGCCTCGGCCCTGATATATTGACTCTCCCCCGGCCACAGCCCTCCTGCCTCCCTCTCTGTCCCGCAGTCCTCAGCCCCATGTTGGTGCAGCAGGACAACAGGATTACCCTTGACCAACAAAATGTCTCACAGCCTCTGCGTTACACACACACACACACACACACACACACACACACACACACACACACACACACACACACACACACACACACACACACACACACAAGTGTATTAAGAATTTGGTGATACGATACATATCACGACACAGGTATATGTGATACTGCGATATATTGTGATACTGTAAGCAACACGAAGTTTAAAAAACTCCGTACAAAGAGCACCTTTCATCAAATTCACACAATCTGATCTAGCCCTTAATTAAAACTCCGTACAGTATCTACACAAACACACTTCCACTAAGCGATAAAGCACATACAACAGTTTGGGTCAAAATACAATCATCTTAAAGCCACAGTATGATAATTTGTCATGTCCTAACTGGCAACCCTGACAGAGACACACTTTCACACACAGACGACCGCACACAGCCAGAGCAGCTGACCAGTCCCACTCATTGATCTCACTTCTAATAACTGGTTAATGGCCACGGCTCTGATTATCGACAGACTGTCTGTTTTAATCAAATACAGCCCCACTTTCCATTAAGTGTGTCAGAGAGGCCTTTTACCAGCCTCAGAAATCAGTTAATCACACTCAGAGGAAAGCAAACATTCAATCTGACCGAATGTTTTTGGCGTTTATTAATCAAAGATAAGACCGACTCACAAGTGGCTGGAAATATAGACCTTTTTATCGCTGCTGATGTGGACATTTTCCTTTTTTCCTGTAAAGCAGAAGAAGGAAACAGCCAAATTTGGAGGCACAGTCTGAGTAATTTAATGTTTTCACCTCATTACACACAAGAAAGCACAAATTCAGAAAAAAGAAAAGCCATTAGCTACTGACTGCTCCGTCAGATCCTGCCTGGATTCGTACACTTTTTCAGACAAGATTTGCACGACGACAAAACGAACACCTGACCCTTCAAGCGTGGCTGGATGAGAGCGAGGCGAGCTTTCAAAAACGCAGCAGTCTGAGGCCGGTTGCTACAGCAACAGCTCAGACATAAATTTGGGTGGTGTCTGTCAGTGAGCGTGCTGAGTCAGTGTTTTTTTTTTTTTTTTTTGCACGAGGGGACCCTGAACCTCGATGAGCTCCCTCTCTCTCTCTTTCTGAGGCCTCTCTGTGAGACGGTGCTCCTCCNCACACACACACACACACACACACACACACACACACACACACACACACACTTTATAATTCAAGACTCCCCACTAGAGACAAACAGAGTAATGTTGGTGGTCCACTCCCAGTGTCATACCTCGAACCGGCTCTTGCTGATACCGTTCATGTCTGCTGCAGCCCGGTTCTGCTACACTTGGACGAACACCGTTATTGCTTTTTTTTATGTTTGTTTTGGATTTTTTTTCTTTTGGTCGCTGTTTTATTTTTGGAGTGCAGGAGCCCTGGGTCTTCACACCCTCCTCCTCTTCCTCCTCCACCACCTCCTCCTCCTCCTGCCCCCTCTCTCGGTCTCAGCCGCCAGCGAGGCTCCTGTCTCCGGGTGGTTGAGGGTGGCGGTGGTGGTGTGGGTCCGGAGCGGCCTGCGGTTCCGTGAACGCTCGCTGTGTCGCAGACCAACGACTCCCCCAGCCCGTGTCTCATCACACGGCTACCCAAAATAACAATAATAACATGGACGGTCTGTCAAGTGACTTCACTTCCGCCTCTCCCTTCATAGCTCCTGAGCGACTCTGCTGCCGCCCGAAAATCTCCCGAGCGGACCCCACCTCCGCCGGATAAAACCCACGAGAAAAGCGGGGTTAACGTCCCTTTTTTTCCCACCCCCCACTTCTCGTTTCGCAGCTCCTGCCTCGAGCCCCTGCCTCGTTCCGTCGGCTGACACGAGCGCCTTCCTCACTGTTTTCTGTTTACTTGCAGTGGGCGGGGATAAGTGACGTCATTGCTGCGGGAAAAGCACGCGTGGTCGATTTGTTTTGATTGTGAGGTCTCGGGGAGATTTGGGACAGCTGCGTCAAAGCGGTTTGATTGAGCGGACACGGCGAAGTGGCAACGATTACAGAACCGAATCGAGACGAGACGTGACACGAACCGGCGCGTGGCTCTGGTTTAAATCAAAGAAACGCTCGCGTTTGTGGAAATTATGGCAGTCCGTTGTTACCCATAATCATACAGCCGATGAGTCAAATCTTTGCAACCAAAAATAACTATGTTTTTGCCACATTCCTTTTACAACAAAATAAAACTAAGCCGCAAAACCAAATTGAGGCTCAAAATAAAGAAAACGCAACTACTTCATTTAAATATTTAGTTTATTTTGGATAGCCTACCAATAAATCAGTTACTAGAAGAAACTGCTTAAACTTATGTTAATATTTTTACGTCTCAGAAATATTTTATTATTACAAGAAATTAAATTAATTGTATTTATATAATGCAAATTCACAACAAAAGTCACTGTAAAACACTTTAATATACAAAAATGCCTTTTACCAAAAATTTCTCTTTCTAAGGAGGCCAGCAGATTGTGTCAAATCTTCACTTTGTTGCAACCCCCATCCTGAATAACACTGTGGTGACAATGGAAAGAAACAACTTTTTTAATAGTAAGAAATCTCCAGCAGAACCAGGTTAGAGAGGACATAAGAGACACAAACAGCTAGTTAATGCTAAATGACATTTGTCCAGACCAACATTGAAAAAAATACTTATCAAAATATATCCCCATGTCCCATGACTGTATTAGAGAAAAAAAAACAAGTTAAAGTAAGTTATTGGAAGCACTACTTGCAATACAGAGATCTTAATTTCCCTTTATTAAATCTGTTTTAATGGCGTTGCACACCCAGAATACTTTGGATGACTCCTATGTTTCCTGTACATTTTGTAAACGGGTTAAACATCAACGACGACACATGAACGCCCCCCTTTTCCACCTGGTCTCCTAAAACATCTTCTCATTTCTCGTTCTTCACCTTCACCGCCAGAGGGYGCCATTGCACAGCCAGCATTGTCCGCTCTGCTTGTGCTGTTTCAGCAAAACCGTGTTTACTTTTCTAATTTAGCACAACTTTGTGGAAAATGGACAGGAGATGAGGAAGGATTACATGTCCTGGACTCTAACTCGCTATGTTTACAGTTTATACTTATTTTACCTGTACTGTATCTGATTTTTTTAAACCTGCTAATAAATGTAAAGTGTTGCACCAAAGGACCTGCTATATCATTGATGTATATTTTAAGCACTGAACAAGTAAAATGACTTTAGATTAGCTGCAGAAACAATTTTTATGCACATAAATGTGTCCGTAAAACAATAATATGTAGTGAAACAAAGCAAAAAAAAGTAGAATTATTGTAAGACATCCATTAAATATGCTCACCATTAAATATAAAAAAAACATTTTTTGTTTGTCATACATTTATTTATTTACTTTAGCCTTTTTATTTATAACACTTGTGATTTTTTTCCTTTATAACCTAATTAAATATGAATAAAAAAATTAAACAGGTTTAAGGAGAGAAAACAAATGACAATACAAGCAAGTTTTTTGTGTGTGTGTGCAGAAAACGTCTCAACTTCCTGTCCACGCATCACGTCTGTAATCTCCTTGCTTGCTGTCCATCACACAGTAATAAACACTCYCCCATCAGATGGATTAAGTCAGCTCTTTGAATAGCTCCAAGCTGGGCTCAGGGTGACTCAGCTGTGGATGGCAGCTCAGCGTTGAATGTTTCTAACCGGTCACAGTGAGCGCAGCACGACGTCAGCCGAGGTCAACTGTTCCACGCAACATTTCCGTACGGTCTGACAAAACATCTAAAGAGGATGTTCACGAAGCAAGAAGAGATTAATGCTTTTAGCTTTTGTGGACTGTTCAAGGGAGAGTTCAAGATCTTTAAGAGGAAGTGGGGTTCGGTGGGACGGTTTTGAACGATTAATATCTTACCTGTTAGCTCCTTGAATTACATCAGCTTGGAAACAAACTTTGATTTGAACTGGAATGATGAGCTAATGTCAAAACCAAAGTAGACAGCTGTTGTTCAGAGAGCTATCTATAACAGGTAAGATACTGACTATTATTGCATTTTAAAAACTCTGAACCACGACTTTAGAATTATTCTTCATTTGTTTGGTTTTGATTTGATCTTCCTGTGATCGCACGCCACCAAATGGCAAAAGCGAAGTGATATTTTTGTTTGTCTGTTAGCAAAATATCTCACAAACCACTGACAAATTGAAATAATGCTTGGATTTACATTAATAACTGATTAAACTTTGGACTCAATGTAATTCAACATGGCCACCACAGACTGTTAGAAACAAATAATGTCTCGAACTATAAATGGCCATAAAACACTTAACTCTGCATATCTGAGGTAAACATCTGTTCATGAAACTAAAAGTAAACGTGTTTTGAATGAAGAGACATGCATGTTTTTTGTTATTTTACATTACCATTTGACTCAGACTCAGTAAATCACTCTAAAAACCCCATTAATCCTGAACTGCCAGCGTTGTTCCTGTTTGTCTGGACCCCCGGCCCCCGGCTGTGGTTTTAAGGAGGCTGTTGCTGTGGAAACAGAGCCATACATCCCTCTTGCCTCCATCATCATGACTTACAGTGATTTCCTCTGAGTCAGCCCGAACACTTCATCCTGACAGGATGGATCTCACATCGGAAGTGTCTGGTGTCACACATGATGGTTAACTGTGTGTGTTTCTGTGTGTTTGTGTGTACTTCCACAACAGGTTTGCTTAAATGTGCGGTTACTGGAAGTCCTGTGAGATTATTACACACCTGTGTGATGTCTGAAGACGTGTGCGCCCCCTCCCACCAAGACGTCTGCAACAAGAACAATTTTCACCAGCTCCTTCGTGGGAGATCTGGTGTGAATTATTGTCTCTCTCCTCCGGCCGGACTCCCACCTCTCCAGAAATAACTCCTGAGCAGCAGTCAGGGATCCCGGCGCACCTCATCTCCTCGTCCATACCTGTGAAGTGAACATCCACAGCAGCTCCAGCTGTGTCCGAATAATGCGTGGGGGGAAAATTAAAAAAAATAAAGGTGACTGAAAGGACAACCTTGAATGCAATGAGACGAAAAAAACTAAACTGGAAACTCTGTGAAACGAGCTGGCTTTGAAGTGTGAGTCCAAACAGCAGACATTCATCCTAAAGGAATGTCTGTCATTACTTTACAACATCTCATTAAAAATTTAGACATTTGTACATGATTCATTTGTTCCAGTCTGCAGCTTTCACAGCTACGTCACACTATTACAGCAGAAAAGGACAGAAGAAACGATAAAACACACAAAAACAGGCACAGTTTTATAAAACCTGTTCAGATTTGTGTATTTTACTACAATTTTTTTTGTAAATTTGTTGGATTATTATGTTATCTAACAGAGCTACACAACTAAATTGCTGAGTGCCACAGTTACCTTGCCTGATAAAGGAAAACTGCATTATGTAAAATAACAAGTATTATCTTTTACTTTTAAATGTGTTTATTTGGTAGCATTGGATCATAAATTTCAAATTTACAATTGCTTTAAACTTTATTTTTATACATCAGGTAAAAATTTTAAAGCATTTTGTTGGGTGGGCCGGACAGAAGTTAGTCGTGGGCCCTATGTGGCCCATTGGCCACCAGTTGTATAGCCATATTATAATAACATAATGTATAAGCTTTTGAAAAGTATAAATTATCTTTTTCTTCCTGTGCTTTCTCAAATGGTTTTAAATAAATTTTTTACAGATATTTTTAGAAGAATTTTCAAATTTTATTTTCACAGTTGCTGCATTTAGTCAGGTTTGTGATACGATAAAAGCCAGTGGGCTGGCAAAAACTAAAAACACTCGAGCTTAAATCAAAACTGGTTTATTACAAAAACACGGGGGCTGACAAAGCAACATATAAAGGACTCTTTTAGGTAAAAACAAAGAGAAGAACCAAGCCAGAACAGAGTCTGGACTAACAGGGAGGAGACAAGGGAGGGCTAACAAGGGGAAATGAGACACACCTGGGACAGAACAACAAGGCTCAGGTGTGGGAGGAGCTAAACACAGAGAACTGACACTGAAGAGAGACAATAAAAACACCAAAATAAACAAACAAAACCCATAAAAAAGTCACCGTTTTTAATGCCACCCTAGATTTTAAGTGGTTTTATTGTGTTACTTGTTTGTTAAGCTGTTTAGTAATCATTCGGGCAACAAACTATGCTCCTAAATCCACACATGAGCTGTGTATTTAGGCTCTTTGATACCAACGATCTGCTGCAAGAACTCCAAATTAAGAAGAATATTCTGTAAAAACTCCAAATATAACACGTAAAAAGTTATAAAATCTTCAATGCAAAACAAAAGCTGTTTTGAACTTAAAAATAAAATAAAAATTGTTTTGCTTGGAATATTCATTTGTATGCATTTTTTCTCTCTCGTGAGGACTGAGAACAGGTCTGGTCGACAAAAGTTGTTCAGTAGCTCTAACCCGGTCCTCACCTGGGTCATTTTAACACATCGGTGTGCAAACTGAGAAACACAGGAGCATTCACGTCTTTGCTTTCAAGCACATGCATTTTATTTAAGCTGTAACGTGGCTAAATTTAGGTTTACAAGTGTGCACCCTGTGCACGTGTTGGTTTTATCTTTACCTGCAGACTCACTGACACAAAGCTCTGTATCATCTGTTGGTTTCTTCCTGAAGGAAATAAAAAGAAATCATCTTATAATCCTCATCATCCTCATGTTTGGTGACGCAGCAAGTTGTTTTACAAAGAACCATTGTGAATACCTTTGCTTTAAAAACAAATCTTATAAAACCTGACAAGAGTTTACAAAATTGAACATTTGTGGATTCAAGCTTTGGTCCTTCACAACTAAAAGTACTTTACTAACCCATCTAAATCTCTATAAGTATTTCTCTCAAAAATTACTTTCAGTTTGTGGTATGGGCAATTTTAAAACCCACACATATTTATTTTGGCTGCCAATAAAAAAAAATGAAATCCAGCCAGGCTGTGATTCCT